CAGGACTGACCTGAACTACCAGTCGTTTGTTGCGATGTTTAAAGAAGAACCCAACTCTTCAAGAGTAAAGAACTTTTCCAGGGTGGTTACTAATGTGGGAGATGATCAATCAGTTTTCCGAGCTGTGGTGGGAAACTCCACATGGTTGAGTCATTGTTGAACCGAGCACACTGACATTCACAACGAAATATCAAACACAAAGTTTCGTTGTAAGTGTAGAGATTGACGGAAATGCTCCTCCGGAGCCGACTTATGGTTATCTCAAATGGATTGATCATCGCAATCGGACAGTCTCAAGTCCTATAGTGGCCCTGATTTCCTGACCTTTGATCACCGTTCATTGTTGGATTTTTTATGTTTTAATTGTCATCATGTTTATTAATAATATAAAATAATTTAAAAACTTTAATCAACCTAGTAATGCTTATAGAGAAAATTCTACGAAAAGCTATGCTCAGAGAAAAAATGGACATGACAATGTAAATATATTCCATAATCGATGTCGCCAATGGGCGGATGATTCATTCATAAAACAATTAGGCCCCGTTTGGTTCAGGGTAAAATTCATTCCTGGGAGGAATATTTTTCTCTCGGAGAAATATGCCCACGTTTGGATGAGCCTCATTACCGAATACCAGTAAAAAACTAATACCAACAGTAATTTTTTGTCTCTTTTTCCCGGGAATATCTATCCCCTGTCTCCCTTAGGTATTTCATTATTCCCGTCTTCGTTGTCTAAAATAGCCTTCTCCCCCACTTCGTTCTGCTGAAATCTTCTTCTTCGACTTGGTTATGGGTTTGTGTTCTCAAAATTGGAATTACCAAAATTGAAATCCCTTTCCAAAGCCACTCGTTCCTTCCTCAAGCTCCACCGCTCTAGCCTCCAGTTTTTGTTTTCTGTCTCTGTAAACAACGAGAATGGTGGGAACAACAGAGGCAGTGGATTCATCAGCCTCCAACAACAAGAAGAACCGTATCCAAGTCTCCCATACCCAGAAACCCCTCTTCTTCTACGATAATCTTGCCAAGGTTCCTTAACTTTGTTTTTTCTTTCTAATTTTCTAACTCTCGGCGATTAATGAATAATATGAGACTTTGAGTTATGTCTTTGGGTTTTCATTTGTTTTTTCCGTTCGTATTTCTGTTGTTGTTGTTGATCATGATGTGAAAATATTCAAGACAAATGGGAATTATATGAACAAAAAATGAATTAAATTAGTTTTTTTGGTTAGTTTTTTATACATTTATTTTTGCTCCCTTTTGGCAGAGGTACATGCAACAATACAATGAGGTGGAACTCTCAGCGCTTGGAATGGGTATTCTTTCTTCGCTCTTCTTTCCACTTTCACTTGCTTGGTTTACTCATTATTGGAACTTTTTTTATTCGGATGTTCTTTTCAGTATTGAAGTGGCAGTTTGCTTTGTTGCTCTTTGTATTTCTTATTAAATGTTATATGTTTAGCTTTTGAGAGATGGGATTGTCATCTAAATTGATAGCTTCAACCTTTTTGGCTAAAATATCATGGAGCACTTAAACTGTTTTATTCTTGTTACCTTTCATGACTACTTCAATGTAATCAAAGGAACAAAGTGAACGATTGGTTTTTAACCACTCGAGCTGAAATACAACACATTACCTTGACATACAAACATGCTATGTGTATATTTATGGAACGTGATTTATGATTGTGTTGCAATGCGGCTCTTGGTTTTGAATGTTGAGGAAAACATAATTGTTTCTTTCTCTTGTTTTTCTTTTAACTAGCTTTCTATGCTGCCTGACAGCTATTGCTATTGTTGTTACCATTGCTGAGATATTGAAGAACCATGGGCTAGCCATAGAGAAAAGTGAGTCTTACTTGTAACAAAATATACATTTTAGCTTTCATCTCATTTTTATAACTCAAACTTTGTATCGTGATATATATGCATTATAACCAATTAGATATATAATGAGGTCTCTGGTTATTGTGTAGTTGATATGAGAGATGAATCAGGCGGACTGGGACATAAATTCTATTAATTGGTAGGTTAGGGATTAATATATAGTAAAATTCAGCTGTACTACTTTCGTCCATTTTTAATCATTTAACAATAACATTAATTCTCAGGTTCATTGAACTTTTCTTATTGCAATTTGTCAAGGTCGAGCTACAATATTAGCATGAATATGCTGGCATAAGCACCAACATTGGATTGACTGCAAGCCCTCTTGTTAACTTTTCTGGTGTGATTGGAAACAATTGTGTTTCTTTTGGGACTGATCTCTCATTTGACACCACCAGTGAAAACTTTACCAAATTGAATGCTGGGTTAAATATCAACCATTCTGATCTCATTGCTTCCATAACATTGCAAATATTTCTTTATGAAGAGTTGGGATTAACATTTTATGTCCATATATTTTCATAACATGAAACTTGTATTGAATAGTATTTCTTTACTTTTGCACGTAATCTTTCATTCTGCTTGTTGTGTTTGTGGTTTTGATTTGGGGGGTTTGTTGATAACTACTGGAATGATAAAGGTGACATTCTTACTGCTTCCCACTGCCACATTGTTAGCCCATTGACTAACACTACAGTTGGGGCAGAGAGAACCCATAGTTTCTCAATTAACGAGAACACTCTCACGAATGGTACACAACATGCTCTTGACCCATTAACCACAGTAAAGGCTCGCCTGAACAACTATGGGAAAGCACGTGCACTGATTCAGCATGAGTGGCGTCCAAAATCCCTCTTCACTATATTCGGGGAGATGGATGCCAGAGCAATTGAAAAGAGTGCTAAGGTTGGTCTGGCCATGGCACTCAAGCCATAAGCAAATCTATTACTCTTTGTTGTGTGGATACAGGGAAGACAATGGTTTTGATTGGTGGAGAAAAGTAATATACTTTTTGACGAAATTGGTATTGATGATCATGGTTCTCATGGATTGTAAAAATAATATGGTGGCCAACTGACTGAATTTAGCCATTGGTTTTTGTTGGATTTCCAATAGCATATAGTTTCATGTTATCAAAAAAATATTGTAGATTGAAATACTGTTGAGGAAGTCAGAGAAGTTTAATGAGTTGATGACAGTTGCTGCTGAGGAAGCCTTAGATAATGAGTAAAGCTAAGCTAGGAATAGGATTGTGAGTTGTGTTACTTTGATTGTGAGAATCTTCAACAGTTCTGTTCTTGTTTGCATGTGAGTGAAGCTTAGTCACTATGATGAGATTTTAGGAATTTTTGTAAACTACTATTGTCGTTTATTATTCAATATTCAAATTTGTTGTCAATCCCTTTCTTCTGCAGTCTTATATACTGTCAATTTAGACCATCATTTTGATTGTGTTCCTTCTACAACTATATCGATCTCTTTTTTATTATGACTTTAGAATATGGTACCAACGTTTTTGTGTAGCTTAGCTAGGTATATGTCAATCTTTTGACTTGAAGAATTTTTTGTGTATATAATATATAGCCAACATATATGATTAAGTTTAGAATGTCATGGTTATTATCTTTTGTAAGTCTGAACATTGTACAAACTTTTGATGGTTAATGTTATACTTCTTTTTGTTATTATGTAGTATATGACTTGCAAGTAATGTGCTAGTTTTCAAATATGTTAATTACTTTTTATAAAATTAAATAACATAGTGAAAGTTAAAAATTCATAATATTGAACCTGATATATTTTTATATAAATTATGTTGAAGTAAAATTTTAATATATTTTTTAAATAAATTATGTAAAATTTAATATTAATTAAAATAAAAATAATACATAATAAAATAATATATTATCAATGAATTTTTATTTAAATATATTATCGATGAATTTTTATATAAATAATTTTTATTTAAATAATTAGAATTTCACTTGTTAAAAAATACAGAACAAGGTCAATTTGGTAAAATATACATTCCAGTAATCTTTTATTCCTTCAACCAAACACTGTAATCTTACATTACTGCCAAACAAACCAAACACGGTAATGTAACATTCTCAGTAATGTGTTAGGTAATGTTACATTCCGGTAATCCTATTCCCACTGGTAATCTTATATTCCGTGAACCAAATGCACCCTTAGAAGATGAAAAACGTAGAAACTAAGCTTCGTTGTTCCCAGTGCTTCAGACATTTGTGTCATCCACCCAGAAAGATAGTCTCTTTTTGACATAATTGGAAGTAAAATTTATTGCCGAAGTCGCCATGGATTGATTATCTTACGAACGAAAACCGATGGTTGCATGCCCCATAAACAAAATATCAGATTGATGAAGAAGAAGAAGATCGAGGAGGAGGTTAATGGGATGACCAAAATGCAAGCGTCTTAAAAGTTTGGTGATTATTTGTTTAATTTACCCTAAAAAAATATGTCAGGTGACATTTTTAATTAGTTAACGGTCAAACTTAATAGTCCGTCACGGTCTGAGCAATTTGAGTTACGAAATAAATTGTTAGGCATTAAAGTGGAACAACGAGCATACATTGGACAATCTTAGTATATTTAAGCCTTAAATTTTAACAAAATATTAATATAACTTCTATTTTTGGATAAATTATTAATTTGACCCTTAAAGTTTAAATAAATTATCAATATAATCTTTAAATCTGATTAAAATATTCTATCAACCAACTATCAACGTTCACCACTATCGTTGATCACTTTTGTTCACCATCAAAATATTTTGTCTATTTCATAAAAAAATATTTCAAAATTTACGAATATAGTCTTAAATCTCAACTTCCTCTAAAATTGGATTATAACAATAAATTTATCGTCAATTCTATTTTAAAAATAAGAATCTTAAAATTATATATAAATCTATGTTATAATCAAATTTATAACTTTTTTATAATAACATAATTTTTAAAAAAAATATTAATTCAATTAATCAAAATTTTGCACACCTCTAAAAATCGTACAGAAAAGGCCCGGCCCAGCATCTCAAAACAAACCAAAATAAATATAGAGGCCCAAAAGAGAGAGAGAGAGAGAGAGAGCACGGTCATAACAACGAAAGAACAGCGGCGCAAAAACAAACAGTGAAAGCCAGTAGCGAAAAGGGGATCTCTGCATATTCAGGTGAATTCTGGAAACCCTAAACTTAACTTGAAAAATGATTTCTACTTGATTTCGGGGCATTTTCTGTAACGCTATTAATAATTCTGTTAAGATTAGTTTATATTCTTTTCCTTTAATCAAGGCATGGATCCTTCAAAGCAAGAAACAAACCAGAATAAACCCTCTAAAACATCGGCAAAGAAGGACACCCAAGAAGCACAATTCGTTGTTTACAATACCATGACTCAGCAAAAAGAGGTTTTCAAGCCCAAAATCCCTGGAAAGGTTTGCATGTATGTCTGTGGTGTCACTGCCTATGATTTCAGTCACCTCGGACATGCTCGTGCCGCTGTTTCCTTTGATGTACTTTACAGGTGTATAAATTGTTTTGGAGAAATCCCCTATGTTTCCCCCCTTTTTCCTTAGAAGAATAAATTGCTTGCTGACTAAATTCTGGATTGGAATTATACAGGTACCTTCAACACTTGGGTTATGATGTTACTTATGTCAGGAATTTTACTGATGTTGATGATAAGGTTTGAATTTCAATATGATCGTCTCTTTGGGTTCCATCTTGGTGTTTTAGTTGAGAGCAATGCAATATTTGTCTTCTGATATTGATATGATACTTAACCTTTTAATCCAATGCATTTAACTTTATATGATTCATTGGCTAATATGGGAGATTTGAAACCTCAACTCAGTTGTTTTCTCCTTTAAATCTATTGAACAATTTGGTTGTAAAATATGTCAACAGTTGGTCCCCCAGCTACAAGAGCTCATGCACTTCTATTTGATATATTAATCTGTATTGAACTTACTTTTCCCGCTTAGTATAGATGCTATGGGGGAATCGTTGCCAATTTTTCCCACCTTTGCTTTCTGACTATTAGTCCACCTAACATATCTCAACTACTATTCTTTCTTCCTCATGCCATGAGTGCCACTGATTGGACTTTTGCAGATAATTCGCCGGGCGAACGAGACTGGGGAAGATCCAATAAGTTTGAGCGGCCGATTCTGCAAAGAATATAATGTAGATATGAGTGACCTGCAGTGTCTTTCTCCAACACATGAGCCACGCGTTTCTGGTCACATTGAGCAAATCAAAGAAATGATAACCCAGGTTTTCTTCCTCTGAATACGCCAGTTGTATTTCCTAGACATATAGATGCCGTGATTCTTCTCTCCCTTTAGCCACATCACATCTATTTCTCCACGCTGAAAATGTAGTGCACATATCCATTGTCAAGTGCACTGTTGCATCTCTATTGTTATTACTTACTTCTGGGGTATTTTCCTTGTATAAATAGGTTTGTATTCGTAGAAACCCTTGATAACACTTTATGTTTTTATGTATGCATGCATGATATGTATATGTATGTATTTGCAAAGTGTAATTCATTTAAATGATTATAATTGGTAGTTAGTCAGATTGTTTACCCGTATAATTATGATAGAAGGCTATTGTTAGACATGCCATTATCATTTACTGTGTGCTTGTAAATTGTAATTTCTCTGCATCAGCCATCAGTGCAATGATTATCAATGGTGTCGCAAAGGAATTGTATGCAAGGACCAATGCTTTATTCTTTGAAGGGATTGCAGATGTTTTCCTTTTGATTGTTAAGAGCAGTTTTCAACTTTTTGTGCTGATTCATGCTGAGCTGAAGTTGCCATCTTAATTGTTAAGAGTTGTTGAACTGCTGGACATGAAGTTCATTACATATGTTCCATGTAGAAATGCTCTATTATAATTATTGTCAGAGTTAGAACCAACTCCCAACTTGTCTTTTAAAATATATTGCAATAATACAGGCGCTTTTTTCTCAATGTTTCATTCCTTTTAACATTTTTCTGTTGTGTATTGGCCAAATATTTCTAAGATCCTTTTTCTTTTTTTCTATTGCTATCTGTGAAGGCAATGTTTCCTATGCTGTTTTGTAATTTCTCCAATAACTTTCCCTATATTTTCATCTTGCAGATTATAAACAAAGACTTCGGATATGTGGTTGATGGGGATGTGTTTTTTGCTGTTGATAAGTTCCCAAATTATGGCAAGTTATCTGGACAGAAGCTGGAAAACAATAGAGCAGGTGAACGTGTTGCTGTTGACTCAAGGAAGCGCAATCCTTCTGACTTTGCATTATGGAAGGTTTGAAACCTACTTAACTTACTAGTAAGTATACAGATGTAATCAAGCTGAGCCTATCCTATAAGCTCGAGATTATTTCCTTTTAAAATCTCAAGGCTTGAGGTTTGCTTGATCATGGAGGAGCTTTAATTTATGTGCTTGAGCTTGTTTTGAAATAAAAATTGAACTACTTGAGCTCCCTTCAATTTGGTTCAGTTATTATTAAATTTATGTAAGGTGTAGGTATTTGTATTGCATTCATCCTCGTGACTTCTCATCTTAATTGTAGAAATTGCCCTCCCAAAGTTGCCAGCACTGTGCTGAATCTGGTCAGTCTATAAAAAAATTGCCCCTGATATTACCCATGCTTCCTAATGTCTTATTGTTGACTGAAAATAAAGGTATCACTTTCAACCCTATGAATGGAGACTTTAAATAGGCAACTGGATATAAAGTACAAGCTTCTTGAACATTTCATTTTCTCTAAAGTACTCCCGTTCAACACTTTTGTCGAACACATCCGGATGCATCCCCTTATGTGACATTCATCTCATGTCTAGGTAACAGTTTCCAAGGATGACAAACCCTAATTACCAAAAAGCAATTGTAGTTTGTTGAACCTAAATTTGCAGAACATATAGCATCAAAACTTCTTCATCCTTTCTATTTGCATCAGTCACCTGTCATTTCTAATATTGCTACATTTCCAAAATTTTATGTTCAATAATTGTTTCAGGCCTCGAAGCCTGGTGAACCATATTGGGACAGCCCATGGGGACCTGGACGACCTGGGTGGCACATAGAATGCAGCGCAATGAGTGCACATTATTTAAGCTTCAAATTTGACATTCATGGTGGTGGGCTTGATTTGATTTTCCCTCACCATGAAAATGAAATTGCTCAGAGTGGCGCTGCATGCGAAGAGAGTGATGTAAGTTATTGGATGCACAATGGGCATGTTACTAATAACAATGAGAAGATGTCTAAATCATTAGGGAACTTTTTCACAATTCGCCAGGTAAAGTTTGGGCTGATTATGTGTTTGATTGCCCCCTAGTGATAATCACAGAAGAAGTATTCTCACCCGAGCTTCTTTTGTGTGTTAATTTGTGTTTTCTTTTAGATTACCGAAAGATATCATCCACTGGCTGTGCGATACTTCTTGATTAATGCTCACTATCGTTCTCCTCTCAATTACTCCGTTGTTCAGTTGGAAGGTGCATCAGAAGCTATTTTTTACATATACCAGGTATTGCACTTAGCTATTTTTCATTGCTATAGGCATATGCTGGTCAGAGTTCAGATGACTCAGCAGAGAGTGGTTTGGCCTTTTAGGCATATATTTGTTTGTCTGACTTGTCTAGGGCTTGTATACATGCGAGTTTTCATGGATACATGAGTGTGCCTCTTTCAGTTTATTGGAGTTTCAGACCTCTCCTCTCTTTCGTTTTACCACTTAAGACTTCTTTGATATTCCCCCCACCTCTCCTCTCCTTCAGGTTAAAAATTACTCATTTGACTGACCGACTTTGGTGTAGGTACATAACTATTTTTCTGAGTTGACCTGAGAGACGAAGTTCTTTTAATTCATTGACATAGGCCAATGTACCTGTTAGTTTAAGATTAAAGTCCTTGCGATTATTATCTTTACCCTCTTTGTTGTGCAGACTTTGCAAGATTGTCAAGATTCTCTATCACAACTACAAGAAGAAATCCCCAATGATGGCAAACCGGCTCGGACTACTCCGGATGCCAAGGAGTGCATTAGCAAGCTCCGAAATGAGTTCCAGACAAAAATGTCAGATGACTTGAGCACTTCACTTATATTGACTGGAGCCTTTCTAGAAGCATTGAAGTTGGTAAACAATTTGTTGACCATGTTAAAGGTATTTGTGTATCTTCCTGCATGCTAATTACTCTCTCTTACACATGTATAAAATGTTTGTACATGCCTAAGTTTATGCCTAGGCAAATACCTTATATTCTCTTGTAATTTTACAGAAGAAGCAGCAAAAGCAGCAAAGGTTATTGGTAATTCAATCCCTTGTAGAGGTCAAGAAAGAAGCTACAAAAGTTTTGGATGTCCTTGGATTGCAGCCACCTTGCTCTTATAACGAGGTGAGACAGGCTTGGCTTTGTTGCATGATGTTACTGATTCACGTATTCTGTAAAAGTTAAACACTAAAGACGGGTTTTCTTCCAAAACAGGTTTTGATGCAATTAGAGGAGAAAGCATTAACGAGAGCCGGGTTGGTGGAAGATGACGTGATTCGTGTAATTAATGAAAGAGCTGAAGTGAGGAGAAACAAATACTTTTTGAAAAGTGATCAGATGAGAGCTGAGCTACAAGCAAAGGGCATTGCACTCATGGATGTAGGAACGGAAACAATCTGGAGACCCTGCATTCCTGTTCAACAAGGACCGGAGGTAGTGCGATCAGGAGACTGCGGCCAGGTCCCTCCCGAGCCCAAAACTGCATAAGAATGCATACCTTGATTTGCTGTGATGAAGGCCATTCATAGACGGTTTTGATTCATAATTTATAAAATGCAGGTCTTCCCTAATGTAACCTAATAAAGATGTGTGATGCTACATGGGGTACATTTGTTTCTATTTGCAGCCCTTTGGCTGCGTAGACAGTGAGCCAGATTCTTGCTTTCCTTTGCTGATAGAATATACATTTAACAGAACATTGAAAAGAACTTGTTTTAACTTGTATTACTCGGACTATGGTTATACTTTGGTGATGCCGTTTTAACCTGAGCGGTCATGTCTGAATAGATATTGAATATGAGCTGGATTAATATAAGAATGACTTGTATTGATTTTTTTGTTTTGGATATATTTGGAATTTTACTAATTTTTGTTTTATAAAACTGTAACTTTGCAGATAATTATTAATATGTTTTTTACTTTTTAAATGTGTAAAATAACTTCTCCAACAAAAATGTCCATATGTATATATTGTGTTATCATATGCTTTTAAAATAAGTTAAATTATAATATTTGAAGGAATTAATAGAAAAAAAATTAACCTCGGGATTGATAATACACATTTAGAAAAGTAATGGACTAGAAAATGACCAAATTATAATAAAAGGATTAAATTAAAGAAACGTATAGTATAAGGACGTTTCAGAAAATTGACTATTTTTATAAAAATCAGGATAAAAGAGAAATATACTTTGCTCAACATTTTGGGGATTGTCTCAGGAAAAGCGGGCTAATATACGGCTAATATACGACGTTACCGGATACATTATAATATATTTAACAAATTCGGTTTAGCGCTACTTGAAATATCGAGTAATAACAATGTTGTAGGTGGAAATCATGAAAAAAATATTAAAAATTTTGGCAACCGGCAAACTTAGCTTGTCGGTTTGTGTCGATACAAATGAAAAATGTATCGATCTATAGCAATATAACAGGTAAAAATATGATAAAATCAGTGTCATTATAATAAAACCGGTAAACCGCTACCGGATATATTGAAAGTGTCGATAAATTAATATAAGTATAGACACTTTTGTAATTTAAAAGAGAAGAAGTTATAGCGTCTAAAAAGTGTCGATATTTTATACAAATGTATTGATCCATAGCAATATAACATGTAATAATATTACAAAACAGGTCTCGAAATGATAAAACCAGTAAAAAGCTACCAGATATATTGAAAATGTCGATACATTAATATAAGTATCGACACTTTCGTAATTTAAAAGAGAAGAAGTAATAGCGCCTAAAAAGTGTCGATACTTTATACAAATATATCGATCCATAGCAATATAACAAGTAATAATATGACAAAACATGTCTCGAAATGATAAAACCGGTAAAAAGATATCGGATATATTGAAAGTGTCGATAAATTAATATAAGTATCGACACTTTCGTAATTTAAAAGAGAAGAAATTATTGTGCCTAAAAAGTGTCGATACTTTATGAAAACGTATCGATCCATAACAATATAATAGGTAAAAATATGACAAAACCGGTATCGAAATGACAAAACCGATAAAGCGCTACCGGTTATGTTGAAAGTGTCGGTACTTTAATAAGTACGCATAAACAAGTGTCGACACTTTAAAAGAAATAGGTAAATATCCTATCGAAAGTATCGACATTTAACATAAAAAGTATCGACATTTAATAATGATTGTCGCATAATTGCAGCAACAGGCGTTAGACAACAACGGTAATGTTGAGGGTATTGCGAGCTTTTGGGGTGTCATGTTGCCTAACTATATGAAATTCACCAACTGTGAGAAGGTAAGACACCATACAAATAGGCATAAATGATGTTTTTGGATATATAATGTTGAATTTTGTCAAATTGTGTGTGAAATTTGTTGCAGATCATGATTACAATAAACTAGAATAATTCACATTGGTATCTGTTGGTGTTGGATATGAAAGAACGTGTTGGAACTGTATATGATAGTATGTTTAAATCTAAAGCATCTAAACAGAGAGTGAATGATGCTAAGAGATTAGTATGTATGAAAGGAAATTATGTAAATTATAATGTATAATTTGTTTAGATCATAATTTCATATTTTTTAATACAGATTAAAATATTAGATAGTTATAATGAGAAACACATTTGGGTAGAAGCATGTAGCTCTCTAGGAAAAGTCCCCTTGCAAAGATTCAAATTCGTGGAGCATAAGATGACCGAACAATTGAATGGATATGATTGTGGCATCTATGTGATGATGTAGATGGAATCGATCGGTTCTAGCGGGGCTACTGGTGATTTTGTAAGTAGAATTAAAAATTAGTTTGCCATTACATTGTTAAAAGTCGTAGATTGAATGTTGTGGTTTATAATACTTAACGTACTGACAATTTGAATATATGTTGTTCGAGAATGGGATCGTATGCGAATATTAAACGATCTCGTATTCCACAATCAAAATCAACTAAGAGAGAATATGACAAAAGCTGCCATGCTACACAAGAATAACAAAAGGAAGCGATGATGTAAATGTAGGGTTAATTTTGTATAAGATTTTTAATTTTATATACGATTTATAATTTTGTATGTGAATGTAATTATGTATGAGATGGGAAAAGTTATCAATTGGTTGTTGTACATGTTTCTTATACATAGTAGGATTCTGTATTATTCCAAGTGTCACTAACATAATTGTCATCATGTGCGGGACTGAATGGCCATTCCATATCTAGGTATGTTCAATAACTACAAAATGCAATAACTTTAAAGTAATAGATAAATTCACAATGTAGGTGGTAAAAATAGAAAATAACACTGAAAAAATTAATAAACACAGATTTGATTTCAACATTTTGTCTAAGTATACTTTGTGTCCAGAATGATTTCCTTACCAAGTGCATGGAAATGTGTCGATACCTTAATAAAAAGTATCGATCCCAAAAACATCGAGACCCATAATTATAATGTAATAGGTAAATTATCAATCTAACCGGTCCAAATACACCAGTTTATGAGAAAATAGGTGTACATAAAGTATCGACACATTTTTAATTTGTGTCGATCACATACTTTGTGTCCACAATGATTTCCTTACCAAGGTCAACATAATGTGTCGATACATCTATAAAAAGTATCGATCCAAAAAACATCGAGACCCATAATTATAATGTAATAGGTAAATTATCAATCTAACCGGTCTAATTACACCTGTTTATGAGAAAACATGTGTACATGAAGTATCGACACTTTTTGAATTTGTGTCTTTACTTTGTGTCCAGAATGATTTTCTTACCAAGGTCACCATAATGTGTCGATACATTTATAAAAAGTATCGATCCAAAAAACATCGAGACCCATAATTATAATGTAATAAGTAAATTATCAATCTAACCGGTCTAATTACACCGGCTTATGAGAAAACAGGTGTACATGAAGTATCAACACTTTTTTAATTTGTGTCGATACTTTGTGTCCAGAATGATTTCCTTACCAAGGTCACCATAAGGTGTCGATACATTTATAAAAAGTATCGATCCAAAAAACATCGAGACCCATAATTATAATGTAATAGGTAAATTATCAATCTAACCGGTCTAAATACATCGGTTTATGAGAAAACATGTGTACATGAAGTATCGACACTTTTTGAATTTGTATCGATACTTTTTGTCCAAAATGTAAATGGTCAAAAAGTTCACAAAAAAGTATCGATACATTTATAAAAAGTATCGATCCTAAAACAATGAAATTCATAATTTGAATGTAATAGGTCATTTTGCGATGTAACCGGTATAAATATACCTATTTAATTTGAAACAGGTCACCATCGACACATTTTAAAGTTGTGTCGATACATCTTTAAATTACTCGCATTTTTTTTCATTCATTATATATATGATATAAACTTCAAATCGAAAAACCCTAAACCTTACTAAACATAAACCTGAAGGCAGAAGAGAACTCATCGACTCCGACGAATACCAACGTTCATAACAGTTACAATTAGATATTCAGGTAAATTTGTCGATATTTTGCCATAAATTATGGTTTGTTTGATTTGCAGATTGGTCACTTTTGTTTCCTTAATGTGTTTGTGTTCCAATGTAACAACATCCACACCGAAAATGGCTCCAAAACGTAAGCGTCAGAATCGGAGCTCTTCTCAACCCATCTCTTCTCAACCCACCTCTTCTCAACCCAACTCTTCTGAGGAAATCAGGTCGTTCGACACTGAGAACTTTAGATCCGATGCGGAGAAAGAAAGATGGCAAAGGAGTTTTAAAGTAAGGAAGATTCGTCCCGAACGTGTCATTGACCTGGGTTTCTTGTTCGATGGTAAATATGATTTTAGTTTTAAATCCACATTTACATCGTAGGGTTGGCTTGAATTCCTTGGTGTAGAACCAACATATTACCCCAACCTAGTTAGAGTATTCTACAACAATGTTTCCTTCCAGTATGAGCCTAATAAGAGTAATATAATAGGAATTAATACCCATGTCATGGGGAATGATATATATATATCTCCGGAGACTATTGCTTCGGGTATAGGTGTCGAGAATAAAGGGGATTCAGATGAAACTGACTTAGATACTACAATAAAATGGGTTGATAGAAATAGCACAATTAACCTAGATGTAGAGGCGAGAGTGTTCCACAAAATGCTGACTTGGTTTATTCGACCTTGTAGCAATAATTTCTTGTAGCAATAATTTCTTGGCAGACATCACTGATATTACATTTGCTAAAGGATTACACATTTCACTGATCACAGTAACTTCTATTCCTTCTGGACTCTTCAGGGTTACCTTTTTCAATCTACAGTCGACATTCCCATAATAATGAAACAACCAATCCATTCCCAGAATCACTTCAAACTCGTCAAAGGGTAATTCCATCAGATTAGCAGGGAATTCAATTCCCTGAACCTTTATGGGACACCCCTTACAGACTTTGTCCACCTGAGTACTATGCCCTAACGGATTGGTTACTATCATCACATTACTCGTAGCTTCTATAGGAATCCTCAACTCCTTTACTAACTTACTTGTAATATAAGAATAATTAGAACCCGGATCAATCAGCACCAATACTAATTTATCATACAACTGAAAAGTACCTGCTATAATATCAGGGTCATCACGGTCTTCACTTGTCTTTAGGTTGTATACCCGAGCAGTGGATCGAACTTCAGGTTGAGCAGAGAATTCAGACGGGTTCATTCCTCTGCCTCTTCCTCGCCCTCTTTAGGAGAAAG